ATATATGTATATATATATATATATATATATATATATATATATATATATATATATATATATATAAACTGTTTATGTTTATTTTGATTGCCAAACAAGCTAAATTGCGTAACAGTTTATGAAATATCATCAACGGGTTTGTGTATATTTTGATGGCGAAATAAGCTACGCTTCTGGTCCTAATAAATAAATAAATATATATATATATATAATGTCTGAATTTTACCAAATTGATTGATTAATGCCAACAATTCATGCAATATATATATATATATATATATATATATATAAATTGACTAAGCCACTTATTGGAAAAAATTATATAAAACAAAAAGCTTCACTTATAATTCAAAAAACTGCAACGGTACAAGCAATAAGACAACAACAAAACAACAACAACACAACAACAACATAAATAACAACACAACAACAATACAACCACAGCGACAACACAACAACATTACAACCAACGAACAGCTCATTCGTCAACAATCACAGCCAGAGGAGCAAGCAATGGACATGGAGTCCCAAGAGAAGCATGTTCAAGATCTTCTTCTTCATCTTCATTTTTATCATTTTCACATTCCTCGCAGTGTGCATCACACTCGTCTACCTGCTCAGAGGTTGGTCGCATGCTTGATCGATCACTTTTGTTCTTATTTGATTGAATTGTTTATCAGTTGAGTTCGTTAGCTGGTTGATTTTATGAGCTGGTCGGTTGATTGTTCGGTTGATTTATTGGCTGTAGACCTGTCATTCGAACATTTTCAAAAGCTTTGGCTGCTGGCAGGTCTAATTGGCTTGTAAAATGATTAACTGGTTAATGACCTTTCAAGTATAAAATGCCCATAAATACATTTTTAATAAATACTTAGTACTTGTACTTAAATACATTTTATGAGTTCTTACCTCAACGCTGGTGAGAGTTAATAGAACATCTAAGTCAAAAGATGTCTGATCAACTTGGCTTCTGAAGCTCGATGGAGTTAATAATTTATTACGCAGCCTTCGTGTGGATCCGTGGCTCAACTTGGTATGCGTAGATCTCATTATTGAGGGAACATCGGATCCTTTTTAACCACAACTATCACGAACCTCACACCATATTTTACTTTATCATTCAGTTCCGTCAATGTTAATTTTGTTATTGCAAGTTTTTTATAATACAAATTTTCATTTGAACAACTTTTTACTGTTCATTGTTGGTACATCATAAATATAAGCGAACAAATTAAATGAACAGAACAGACAAAAAGTCAGCCAAATATATGCCTCACAGAACATTGTGTCACGACAGGTTGGTTTGGTTGGCTGTTTTTTGTTTGTCGTTGTTGATGCTTACGATATTCGTAATGTTTACAAGACATTTGTAACGCTTGTTTCATTAAGCTGGTGTTGCGTTTAATTCGTTTGCTGGTGGAGATCCATGACAGGAAGTATAAATTTTTCATTTACTAAACATAGAGCGAAAAACATAGAAAGTTAAGGGCATTAGATTTTGTATGTTTCTTTGTTTCTTTGTCCGTTTGTTCATTCGTTCCTTTTTTCGTTCATTTGTTTGTCTACGTGTTGTAACATGAAGTATCTATCAGGTTTAAATTTGAATAATTGAATAATTTCTATCTATAAATTCTTCGTTTCTCACTACAAATGAGTTAAAGAAATGATAACATGACTAAGTGAGCCTACCTACTTTTAAGAACTTCTTTTTAAGCTGCTTGAGTGTCGGTAGCAACTGCTGCCAGACATTGTGCCACTTATTTTGTTACGAAGAACTAACTGTTGGATAACAAATGAATGAATAGGAGAATGTTATGACATCCATCGTTTATTTCTCCGCTTTGTCTTCACTTGTGATTCTGCGTTATAGTTTTATTAGTTGTGTGCTTGCGTCATTTTTGCTGTTTAATTTCAAGTTTTGAATTCAAGTAAATTTCAGTATTTAAGTTCAAACAGGAAGTGATTTTTATTTCAAAACATCTTATTTGTTCAGTTTGAATTTTATTTCTACCTTTTCTTGCTTTTGCAAATTAAAAAATATGTACCACAAAAAATCCATAGCAGTTCTGATTAGGTGTGCTCATGCAAGCAGGCTGGGCTGGAAATTATTTTTTGTGTTTTATATATATAGCTATAAATTATAACTTTATTACATTTTAAAAAATACATTTCACTGACCACATTAACGAGAGTAATTTTCAAAATGGACAACACAGCCGCCCGAATAATAACCAGCATGGACAGGTCCGTGGACCCGTGCCATGATTTCTTCCAATTCTCTTGTGGCGGCTGGATTGAAAAGAATCCCATTCCTGACGACAAGCCATCCATCAGCACTTTCAGGATACTCGAAGATGAACTGGCACACAATCTGCACGGTTTTTTATTCACTTTGTTGACTGTTTTTCCAGTTTTGTTTGTACATGTACTTTACTGTAGACAGAGGAACACGTTCAAATGCTTCGTTCATAAATCACAAATAACACTTGTATCAAGCGGTAGCGCAAGGTTTAGAACTTAAACATATAAATATAAATATATATATATATATATATATATATATATATATATATATATATTTTGGTAACAGACTGTTGTTAACGCAACATTTCAAAAGTTCAACACTACTTTCAACATTGCTCAGCTTTTTTATATTTCTTTTTAATTTATTAATTTCAGAGAAATTAGACATTTTATTGTTTTTTAAAAAATTTTTATTAAATAAATATGCAAATAGCTATTTCGAGTTATAAATAACTCATCTTCAGTGCATTATATATAAGGTATGTAAGATATTTGATATAAAGGAACAAGTAATTATTAATTTATATAAATTATTTAATTAAAACAGAAAGCCAATAAAATAAATTTAATAACTATAAACAATATAAAACGCGATTTTTAAAAATTTTAACGGCAAAATTGTTTACATTATGGTTGTTAAGGTAAATATCAACGCTCAGCCGAGAAGCGCGAATTAATTTATTTAATTAACTACATATTATTAATATTATTTTTACAATATTTAAAAACGTTATTATTATTATTATTGTTAACGTTATTATTATTATTATTATTGCTGTGGTTCTTCTCGCTTCTTGTGATGATGTTCCATTTGCAAGTGATATTTGCGCTGTGGGTTGTGGCGTTGGTATCTACAGTGTTGGCACTGTTGTTGTTGTTGTTATTGTTGATGCTATTGTTGTTGTTGATGATGTTGTTGTTGATGTTGTTGTTAAAGTTGTCACTATTGGTATGATTGTTGTTTACATCATCAATATTGTTGGTGATAACATTGTTATAATTATTGCTGTTGTCGTAATTGTTGTTGTTATAATTATAATGATTGTTGTTTTTATTTAGTAGTCTATTTGAAGGTAGAATGTTGTTAGACTGTACTTGAATGTTCATGGAGGGATTTTTGTTTTGTATGAAAATTGATTCAGCTATTTTCAGGTTTGTGATGTTGTCATTGCAATAAACTATTTGCGTGTTATTTAACATTTGTCGTGTTATGCTGTTGCTGATAATGTTGTTTAATTGCTCCATCTTGTAGATGCATGGTCAAACGTCTTGACAATGTGGTAGTTGTCATTCCAATATTTGAAGCATTGTTGCGGTGCGAACATTCACCGACGGAGCATTTATATTCATATATTAGATGACTTTGATGTAGTTGAGTAGTTGCAGGAAGGCAATTATTTCTCATGATTAGTTGGGATGTTTTTTAATTTTGATAGTAAATTCGAACAACAACTTTATTAATTGGATTTGACGCTACTACGTTTCTGCGTATTATTCCTTTTAAAATTCTTTCATCTTCTTTATACGCCATTGAAAAGGTATTTTTGTAGTAAAATATTATCTTATGTTTGTCATTCATTTTGTTGTTAATTTGGTTTCTAATGATACGGCTGTTGTTGTTGCTGTTGTTGTTATTGTTATTACTGTTTGTTTATATGTATATATATATATATATATATTTATTTATTTATATATGCTCATAATTATACATGTTTACACATATTCACACCTCCACACACATTTATACATATTCACATATATTTTTACAATTTCGGCAGCGATTTTGAGGGAGCCTCTCACAAACCAGTCCACAATTGGTGAACGCAACATGAAAAATTTCTTCGACTCATGTCTTGATCTAGGTATCTTCTATATTTTCCAACATATAATCATTTTTCTGATAGCATAATGAAATTAATAATTCCAAGTTTACTAATAATTTTACTTGTTTAGAATTGAGTTTTGTAGGTGTTATTAACTAACGTTTGAAAATTTTCTGTGAAAATACGCTATGTCCTGCTTTGGTTGGTTAGGTCATAGATATATATTTAATATATATATATATAATTTATACTGCTTATTTGACAAAAATCCATACAAGGAAGCGCTTTTTAAAAACTAACTGCTGTTAAAAGGGAAGAGAGAAGTTTTCAACTGTCCCTTGAACTGTTGAAGCAAGAAACAACGGCTGCGTAACGTGCTTGGAAGGTTATTCCACAATTCTGGTCCAACGATCGCAAAATCTCGTGATTCAATTTTAAGATTTGTTTTTGGCACATGCGAAAATCTAGAATGCTTTGACCTCTTTCAGTATTTCGACAGACTAATTTTATTAGAAGTAAAATCATACAGAACTTCTGGTTCAACGTTATTTAATGACGCATCTTTTCCAATAAATTTTTCTTTGAACTGGCAACTAATACAATTTGTTCAAAACTGGGCCTACATAATCAAATTCGCCACCGTTCCTAACAACCTTGGCCGCTTTGTTTTCAATCGACTGCGACGCTGATAGTTCACATTTTGCTACCGACACCATAGCAAAGGCAGTCACAAGAGTCTAAACGTGTGTGAATGAAGGGTTCGGCGTGTTTTTCATCAAACTTTTCTTTGTTCTGCTAAATGAATGATTTGATCCAAGATTATGTTTCTTCAGGTCGGTCCAGTACCGTGTTTGGACAAGTTATTCCGGCTGATGGGAAGATCCTCCAAACTATTAAAATGTCTCCGTTTTATAAAAACGTCCTATTTTTTATAGTTACTTTGTGGAATAAAATTAATATGTTATGTGTGTGCGTGTGTGTGTGTGTTTGTACGGGGGAATTATTTTCATATCATTGAAACAGAATAATTTTCTTAATTACCATTGAAACAGAGCAACTGGATAAACTAGGGTTGGAACCTCTGATGAACATCATCAACGAGTTTGGTGGATGGCCCATTATAAATGATACCTGGAGAGAAGATGATGTCCAACTGACAGAAGTCATCCTCCAATCAAAGTTTCTCTCATCCGCTTTGTTGTTGAAGATCAGTGTAATCCCAAATGAAAAAAATTCAGAGGAATTTAATTTAAATGTCTGCATCACAACATTTTTATGATAACGTTTATTATAATTAATTTTTTCGAGATTGCATTGGTTGCGCTTAAATATATTAACACAAATAAATGGTAATATTTATTTTATGTTTGTAATCATAATTGTTTGTTTATTTCTTTTCAGATTAATAGTGTTGCTAATAGTTCTTACTTTCATCTACATATCAGAAAAAACTTTCACCTTTTCTTGACAATCTTACTCTTTCATTTTTGTTGCTTTTTTAGTTTTATCTAAGATTGAATATTGTAACTCGCTCTACAATGGTCTTCTTGATTGTACACTCTATCCTTTAAGTGAAGCTTTTACCTCGCTGCTTGTCAAGTTGCTTTTGCCCCTTTCTTTTCTCATATATCTCCACATTTTATTAATTTAACGTAAACGCTCCGGTTTACGATCGTCTTCTTGTTTTCGCTTTTTCTAAACTTCTATTAAACACTCTTGCTAAATCTGTGTTGGCTTTCTTTAGTCTTTTTTTCTGAAGGTCTCTATCTCCTCAAACACTTACAAAGTTCAGAGCTGGATCTCAGGGCTCATCTATTTGTGAAATTCACAGAGGTGCGCTGTTGAACATCGTGGAAATGGCGCATTAGAAACTAATTGTTTGTTCGATTTATTGAATGATTGATTATTTTGACGTTTCAGTTAGATCCAGGAGTATCACTTTTGCCGAAGAGAATGTATTTAGATCCAAATTTCAATCAATCCATGCAAGTTTACAGAGCTGTTTTTGAAAAAGTCGTTAGTCAGTTTACTCCGAAGTTTAATCTATCAGACATCCAAGATGTTATCGATTTTGAGACGGCACATGCTAATGTTTGTACAAATTTATTTGTTGATAGCAAGCTCTTGCTTAAAACTAAATATTTCATTTTTGGCAGATCTATCCAAGCGAAGAGCACAAGAGATCGTACCGCACAAAAAATTTTTACTCAAATTTCGATAACTTGACATCTCTTTTTGGAGAAGTAAGTATTGCTTCATATTTCATTGTGTCTGTTTAAATATTAACGAACAAGTCAAAATAATGTAAAAATTGATATGGAGCACGAGAGCACTGCACTTGAAACGTTACGCATGAAGTTCAAAACAAAATTTTTTGAATAAGGTTTTTTGACCTTTCAACAAACGCAGGTGTTTGATTTCAAGTACGTCGTGCAAAATCTTTTCCAATTTGCCGACGTGGAGGTCTATGACAACGAGACCATCACAGTCGTCAACCTCCAGTACTTCGAACAGCTCGTCGAACTGCTCAAAAAAACTCCAAAGAGGTTTCCTTCAAACATATTGCATTTCTTTTTGTTCTTTTGTTTGTTTTATTCAATTCTATAATTCAGGTATATTTTTAGGTATGCTTGGACAACCTTGGACAACATATAATATATAATTACAATAAATACGTCCAATATTTTTTACATATAAGGGCATAGTTTTATTTAAATGATTTTTTACTTTTTCTTCTGCTTTGTTGCACTTGATGAACTGCTGAACGACTGAATGAACAGAACGGTGGTGAACACGTTGTTGTGGGACCTGGTGTCCAGGGCCATCTTCTGGCTGCCACAGAATTTGATCAAAATCGGCTATGAATGGCATAAAGTATGATACATTTTTTTATTTTGAAAACGTAGATATTTTTAGTTTTTTAATTATAAATTTTTGATTCTGTTATTAATAATCATTAATTAATTAATTAACTAATTAAATTTATTGTATATTGAGTTCTCATAAACTAAAAGGTTTATTATGGAGTAAACAAAGAGAAGCCGAGGTGGAACTACTGCGTGACCAGCACCAATGATAATTTCGTCATGACGCTCGGTCGCTTGTACGTCGAGAATCATTTTGACTCCAAATCGAAAGAATATGTTAGTGTTGGTGTGTGGGCTTGAAGAATTGATATAAATATTCTAAACATTTGCTGTTTGATTGAACATTTAACTGGCGATGAAATAAGGGTGGTGAGAGTTTAATGGTTAACGTGTCTGTTCCTGGCGTTGCGATGACCAGGTTTGAATGCAAGTAGATCCGCGCCTGTTAGATGTAATGTGCACGGAACTGGAATGAATGATGAGTAATGAGGATGATGCGTGATGTGTCAGGCACTCGAACTGCTGGAGGTGATCAGGGAGTCCTTCAAGGAACTCATCGACGATGCTGATTGGATGAGGCAGGAGACAAAGGTCAAGGCCAAGGAAAAAGTGGGCACTGTCTTTTTTATCTAATGGCAATAACAACATTGCATGATGATGATGATGATGATGATGATGATGATGATGATGATGATGATGATGATGATGATGATGATCAGGTGCGAGTAGTAGTAGTGGTACTGACTTAATGCGTATTACGATGCTGAAGTTAAGTAGTTTAAGAAGAAAAAAAACGAAACATTGATGATTGTAGAAATATGCGCAAATTGATTGAAGGTTGACTCAATGAAGGAGAACATTGGATATCCAGACTACCTCTTCAATGAAACACTACGTCAGGAGGAAGTGAAGGAGGTATGAGATGTTTTATTCAGTTGTTCCTCGTATGTGTGTATTTGTGCGCGTATGGGTGTGTGCGTGTGTGTTGCGTGTGTGTGTAGGCGTGTGTGGATGTGTATGTGTGTAGCATTTTTAAAAAATTAATTTTTAGTTGTCCCTAAGGAGTGACCGCCTGTTCCAAAACATCCACGACCTCATGCAGTCTCACCTGCTGAAGAATTACAAACTCCTTCGTATGAAGACCGACAAAAACAGGTCGTAACATTTCCATGGGCTGATTTTCAATTGAAAATTTTTGTTGATAATATTTTTTCATTTGTGTGAATTTGTATACTTTAAAAATGATCAGTGCAATATAATTTGTTTTCATTCATCAACATTTGTTTATTTGTTTTGTGCGGTTCTTGCATTCAATGAAAGGAAAGATAAACACTTCAGGATTGTGATTTCAAATGATTTTTGATTGTATGCATGTTTCGCATGCACCTTACATCATTATTAAGTTTCATGCATTCGTCTGAAAGGTGGGCTTCACCGATTGGTATGATCAATGCATTCTACAACGGACCGAAAAACCAAATTAGTGAGTTCCAAATTTATTTGAAAGCCCAACTTTATGAATGTCTCATATTGAAAATATATTTTATGATTATGAAATATTATATTCAACCACCTACCTCCAGCATTCCCGGCGGGCATCCTGCAGTCCCCCTTCTACCACGAGTTCAATCCAAGGTGTGTCTCAAATGTTTCTTACAACTCCTTACAAACAAAAGTTATGAGTAATCAACTTGTTTGGTTGTTTAATTTATTCATGTGAGTTCTTTTGATGTAAATTAAAGTTGGAAGTATTGAAATAAAAATTAAAGGTATCTGAACTTTGGGGGCATTGGCATGGTCATTGGACACGAATTGACGCATGGCTTCGATGATAAAGGTAGGGTCATTAATTTTTTCTATTTATCATATTTTCAATTTTGTTTTGTAAATTTATATAGTGTTATTTTTATAGGTGCTTATTAGTTTTTTGATTTGAATTTTAGATTAGAACATTTTGGAATCATATTGAACTAGTTTAAATTAATTTAATTTTTACTATATCTCACTTATTTATAAGCATAATTCTTCAAGACGTCATATTAGGCTCCTACTCTTTACTTATTACACTAGACAATTTGGTTTCAATTCGACAAACACCTCAGTTCCAAAATGAAGCACATCTAAGACGCTTGCAGTAACCTTTGACAAAAAATACTCTTTTTTTAATCATATCACCTCACAAGCGAAAATTGCAATAACCAAGCACATGCGTTAAATACGACACATCAGACAATTCTCATCAACTGAGCTCGTCGGTGATTTAGCGCAATGCGTGTGTGTGATGTTGTCAAATTTGAGTTACTGCAATCCAATAATTTTTGGCGTATCTAAGAGACAGAAGACATGTCTTTGAAGTATAATAAACCGAGAAGTCAGAGTTTTTCTCAAAATTGACTCATTAACACACCCCACCATCATGTTTCAAAATTGCTATCCCTTTCAAACTTTATTTTAAACATTCACCAGCATGTCCCAACAGTCTAATACATGCAAGCAGCAACAAACGTCTTCCATCTTCCACCGCTTTATTTTTTTTACCACAAAGAACAAACAGCACAGCAAAGCGAATTTTTTGACAAACTGCTCCACATATATCTGGAACTAGCCTCCTCCAAACGTCAGAAACTGCAGCATTCTTCATTTTTTCAAATCTGTTTTAAAGTCATTCTACTCTCAAATCTTTTTTTTAATTCATTTTACTTTAAATGAATTTATTAAAAATTTTATTGATGGCATTATTATTGTCATTATAATGAGAAGACAACAACACCAACTGCACATGACAGGCAAGGAGTATGACAAGGATGGCAACGTGAGGGAGTGGTGGACGGTGGACGACAACACGAACTTCCACCACAAAACAAAGTGCATGGTCGATCAGTACAGCAAGTACTACTTCGATGGCTTCAATGAGACGGTCAGTCAGTATCGCAGATTATGCAATAAAAAAATGGCAGATTGAATTAAAACCATTTGAAAAATAAAATGTAACCAGTGCATTCATCATTAAGTTGAATTAACTGTCCAATGGTTTGAATTTTGTGGAAACAACAAAACCTTTGGCGTTTCATTTTTTAAAATTTGTTAACAGTCAAAAATTTACATTATGGTGGTTTTTTTATGTAAATTGTTAGTAGTAGAAACACCTATTTTAAAATGCATTAGCTAACGACATATCGTATATTTGTATTGGACAGCTGAATGGTAATCTGACGCAAGGAGAAAACATTGCAGACAATGGAGGCTTGAGGCAAGCCTTCCTCGTTAGTCTCCAACTCTCATCGCTACCAACATCATCATCATCATCATTATGACTATCACGCTACTTCACCAATGCCATCCATAACCATCATCGCCAAACTTCAGAGACGCCAATATAACATTAATCATAAACTTGTTATTTGAAACGAAGGCATATAAGAAGTGGTCGAGTAAGCACGGGGAGGAACCAATGCTGCCAGGTCTTCCCTACAACCCACATCAACTTCTCTTCATTAATTTTGGACAAGTCTGTTCAATATATAAAATTTTATTATTTCGTTGCTCATATTATTTTGAGTTCATACATTTTTTTTAAATTTTATTTCCTGAATTTTTTTGAAGATGTTTGGCAGACGGTAATTCAAAAGTTTAACTTAAGTAATCACATACAGTTTAATAATATGATGTAACTGAATAATCTGATAAAATTGAATTGAAGATATGGTGTGGTACAGAGAAACCTGAGCATGCCAGACACACTTCCCAAGTTGGAAAACATGCACCAGGAAAATATCGGTCAGACACCTCACCTCGTTTTTACTTTTGTTTCATCTCCTTGTGCCATGTTGCCGTATAACATTTATTTAACATTTTTCAACCACTTCCGATTTCCCTAACTGGCCGAAATTTTCAGGGTAGGTGCAATTTGAGATAAGTTAACGAACAAGCGCGTCTTAAATAACGATAAATCAAATGATCAAACTTAACTTGTCTAATTACATAGCCGGTTCATGTAGTAAAATATATAAAGACGTGAAATCAGAAAATGTGGTGTTTTTTGGTAAAATGCTCTAGCGAATATATTTCAAAAAATTACAATAAACGCGCGATTGAAACTTCTTGACGATAGCCGATAGCGCAAAAATTAATCGGTAGACATGATCAAATAATCATTAGGTAATAAAAACATTCTAGCAAATGCATTTGAAATATTTACAAAAACTGCGGCCAGTATAATTTTTACCGACAATGTGTGAAATAACGGGCAGAACAGACTTAATTAAAATAATAAATTATTTAAGTAATAAATATAAATCAAATTTACTAGTAAATGCTCTGGCGAATTCTTTTTTAAATTTCAAATATTTTAAACAATTACAATAACTGACTACTAAATAAGAAAAAGTTAATTTGAATAAAAAAATTAAATTTCAAAATTCCGTTTAAATGTTTTTTGAATTTTGGTTGTTTATTTTAAACGATAATAAATTATTTGTCATTCGCAATCAGTCTTAAACTTTACCGATTTATTAAAGAAATTGAATATTATGCGAAATGTCAACAGCAATTTATATGGAAAAACCACTTGATCAACTTTTTGAAATCTCATCTTATTTATAACTAGATTGAATAAAAAATTACTTCTTGTGGTTTGAATTTAAATAAATTTGTTTAATTACATAGATTGGATGAAAACAAAACTTATTATGTGCTGTGGGAGATGTGCTAGTGAACTGACAATTTCTGGTCTATTTGGACACCTAAAAATGTCATAATGTCATTTATATAAGCTTTACTTTCTACGATTTCTTTATTATTGACCAATTGACGAAAATCTTGTATGGTTCTTTGCGGTTTAACAGTTGAACAGAGTCAAACATTATTAACTCAGTTTTTCTCTGTTTCTCTTCTTATCACAATTAAACCGCTCTAACAACATTAACAACATTTATTCATTCAATTAACTCTTTTACGTTTGATCATGTTACGAAGACTTTTGAGTCATTAGCATGGAGGATGAAGTTGCATAGTTTGATTCACTTGGATTTAATTCACATGATTAAGCGATTCAACGACGAATTTTATTGTTTTAATTTTTACATAACATGAAATATAAGAATTGTGACTTGAGCTTGACTTAATTGAATTGTGAAGTTACATTTGAACCACATTTTTCTTAATTCATTTTATATTCACAATGTTAATTAAGAATATTTGAAGTGGTCCCGTGAAATAAACTTTGAAATGAAACCTGCAGAGTGATCGGTACGCTGGTCAACATGTGGGAGTTCGCAGAAACATTCAACTGCCCACTGAACTCACCCATGAACCCAGCCAACAAGTGCAAAGTCTGGAAGTGAAGGTCGTCTCAATGGAAGTCAAGCTCGTAATAAAGAAACATGACGTTTTGTGGTCGTTGTACATTATTTTATGAATATATTTTTGAGAATGTTACCGATGAAAATATTTTTGTTGTTCAACAATTGTTAAGTAATTTGCTTTTGTTTGTACTCTGGCAAATTTCATTTATGACCATGATTGCATCTTTAATAAAACTTCAAAAGATGTTCATGCTTGATTGATTGGTTAATTGAAGATGATGTTATGTATTTTGGTATATTTTTGTACCGTTAGTGGTTGTTAATGTTCTCACCTTTTAAAGTGCTTCCTTGTCATGAAATATCTTATCAAACTTGCATTAAAATGTTTTAAATTAAGTTTTCGGTGTTTGTGAATTGATAAATTATTTCATGAAAGAAGTTTGGTTGTAAGAATGTTTGAATTTATTTTCTTCATTTCAAATAAAAACGAGAATTGTAAAAAGAACATTAAAAAGTGGAGGATAAATAAACGAAATTACTTTCAAACCAACGCTGATTTTCAGAAAATCTTCGGCAAATTAAATGTTGAAGAAATTGAGAACAAATTAAAAAATTGAATTTTAAATTAAAATTTTAAATTAAATAGCATTTGAACAAATAAATAAATAAATAAAAGTTTCATGTTTTTAAACTTGAAAATTTTTCTCTAGAAATGTACAATGGTTAATGTGGGACCCAGAGTATATGTTCTACACATGAAAGAAATGTTTGCAAACAAAATTATTCAACATCATCTGAGTGTTCACATTTTAAATGCTAATAGATGCTCAACTTTTTCGGCATGTACGTATAAAAGGCAGACGAACAAAGAATGAAGGAGCTGGGCAAGACATGCAGCTCCTCTGAAGTCACACTCGAGATGCAACGCATAAATCCAGCAAAACAATAAAACGCTATAAAAGTATATACACCGACAAGAAAGCCAGAAATTAAAAATGAATTAAGATGTCAATACGAATTTTCATAAAAATAAATATTTTACAATTCATGTTTGTAAACGCGGAACCAATTTAATAAATTTGAACTTAATGAAACTAATGCCTTCGAATACGCCATTTACTGCAAATCAAACTTACTTATTAAAATGTCTGAAAATTAGGTCATCTTTTAAAAATTACTCAAAACTCGGCACTGTTTGTTTCATCTTCCTTCATAACCTCCCGGAAAGGAATTTTGACTTCAGGCGTGTTCCTTAATATACGATGGTAAGCTTACACGTGAACATGTGAACATTTACAGGCATGTGAACATTTACAAGCGAGTGAACATTTACAGGCATGTGATGAACAAGAATGAACACAAAGAAACAGTTGAACAAATAAATTCAAACGCGTTTATAAACGTCTGTAATCAACGTTTTTTATTTGTTGATGCAAACGATGCACGCGATCCCTCAGTGATATACGAACAAGAAAAGTTTACACTTTACATTCTATTTAGCATTTGCGTCTTTGGTTGAAATCATGTGCAAGCATCTTCCAGTACACAACGGAATACTTGAAATCTAACCCAACCAATATCTTGGGTTAACTTTAAGATAAGAACAAATATGAAATATGGGAAAAATAACCTTCTACAGAATATATTTTCAAAAAAAACAAAATTGAAATTAGGCGTGAGTATATTTTTAAATTATAACAAAACGGCCTGAGTTTTAGTTTCAAATTGTTAAACAAATACAATTTTGCTCAAACGTGTTTGAGCACTTCTCTCATTACATTTATCTGCCCACGTGTTTGAACCAATGCAACGTAAATAGGCTAAGAAGGCAGCAACAGAGAGGAAGCGTGAAAAATATTTCAACTGGTGTGTTAACAGTTTGAAATTGTCGGAGATCGTTTTGTTCTTTGAATGATGTATTTTCAACATAGCAACAACGACACAACACCACACACAAACCACAAACGCATCACGCACACATCACATCACGCACACACCTAACCACATGCTGCAAGCATCAGCTGCGTGGAGCACATTGAAAGAAATCTACAAACTACATACATTTTTTTTTAATATTTATAATTATTTTTAAATATGACATGCTTTACACTATTAATTTGATCATCTAAATTAATGTATATGCGAGTAACAAATGCTCAGATGAAATGTTAGTGTTATGAAACACTTTAACACAGGGTCGGATTAAAGGTAGGGCAGGTGGGACTACCATTGGGGATTTTAAGGGGTGCCGACCATTTTGTGAGTAGTATCTTTAAGATATGCTAAAAAATTCGCCAGCTTAATTATGGCCACATCTGACAAAAATGTTGGTAGCTTTTGGGACCCTCCCGTAAAATTTCAACATTTAGCCGCTACCGACAACGTTGTCAAGATCCGTTCCTTAGGGATATTGCACAAGGAGAAACCTCCCCAAAAATAAATAAAAATATTCAAATTACAACCGGTCAGCCTTTCTACCGAAACATTTTTATGCATTATCGTCAACAAAAATAGTAAAAATGATCAATTCATTAATTTGTCTTTAACAGATTACTACTTTTTTAAACAACTACATTTTTGGCAAATAATTTTTTCAATACTTGACCAAGAATATAAATTTCTATCTGCTCTGAAGATAATATTGGACCTACGCTGATCCGATCAATGGAGATAAATGCTGTGCTTGTGTTGCGATGTAGATGACGATGACTATTGTAATGATGACATTGGTTGATTTTAATGAAGATAATTACTCGTTCTTCATTCTAAAATTTAAACAGTTTTCAAAATTTTGGGTTTCTTGTATTTGCAAATTTGCCATTTGGTGCATCTAGCATATCTGTTATATATGGAAGTCCACGATGAACAGACAATCAAAAACAACAGATATGACGAGATAATAGAATATAGAACAGAAATGTATCCATTAAAATGCTTTCTTAAGTGTGTGTATGTGTATGTGTGTATGTGTGTGTGGTGTGTGTTGCTTAAGTTTTCGAATTTTCTAACGGTAAGAAGACAGTAACGGTAACAAAGTGACTACTAATAACAATGAATGCAAATTACAGGAACAAAGGCCTGGCTTACACAAACTCCCTATATAAACTGCAACAAGTACTGGGTTATACAAATTCTTTATATAAACTGTCAGAAATGCAATTATTGATGAAAATAACATGTCTTGAGTTCAGAACCACATTGTAGAGACACAGACTTGAGCATTTGGCCATATACACAACGTATCAATTCGAACACCGAAGATGGTATAGGAATACTGAAAAAAAGTTTTTTTGTTCTATCAGGTTTAGATGTTCTATCATGCTTAAAATAAATAAAAATTTTTCTTTTGAACTCAAGAAACTTGACAGTCATTTACGATCTACCGTTAGAAAAATCTAAAAGTTAAACAGGAAGTTACTAACCCGGAATATGCATAGGTATAATGTTTTCGAATGTTAAGCTTTTGTGGGCAAGCAATAAACACAGTCGTACAAACATGTGCGTGTGTAAAAAAACAAACAGATGTGTAACTTTTATTTAAACCTAACTACACACATAAACAGACATACACAGAAGCGGAGGTACGGATAAACACACAGGCACATATACATACAGGGAGGCACAGGTACCTGTAAACATATTCATATGCAGTCAATCAAATATTTAGACGCATAATTTATAACATGCAGATTAATTATACGAAAACACATATTTCTAAAACGCTAAAATCTTAATTAATAATCTTTTGAAAAAGTGCAAACGATTTAGTTGACGATGAGGTGAGTACACGTTGAGAAAGTGGGAATCGTTTTTAAAATGGTTTTCAAATTGAATATAAACTGTCAAAATAGAGAGGCAACAAGAAGAAGAAAGTAAAACACTACAAACAAGGATGTCACGTCCTGTATTATAAATAAATAAATAAATATATATATATATATATATATATATATATATATATATATAATGATATATAACTAATTAATTCTTTTTATTTATTTATATAATATATCAAGAATATTATACAAATTGACACAGTTTTATTGAAAGCTAATAAATTTTTGTTGTGTCAATGCTCTGCTTATTTTCCTACGCATGCTGCTAGTTTATTTTTACTTGCAATTGTGTATAAAAACAGAAAGAAAACCTACGGCTGATAAAAGTTTAATTTTTGAAGAAAAAAATGTTGGAGATGAAAACAAATGCGTATCATTATTTAATGGACAGCCCAACAATCAGTCAGTCAATCGGTCAGACAATCAATCAACCAACCAATCGATTAACCAATCAATCAACCAGCCAATCAACCGGCCAATCAACTTACAATCAACAACCAGCCAACCAATGAACCAATCAATCAAACAGGTGATGAGACATCGGCGTATCCACTGTCAGCATCCTTCTCCCTGCAGAGAATGACGGATGCGCTCGTCAGACTGTCACGTGACGGTCCCAAACTTCGAAGCTGCAGGGAATATAAATTAACGCTTTTAAGTATCTTTTAAAGTCTGTTTTGTGGTGAAAGTGAAAATTTTATTTGTGATAAAATATGATTCAAGGTTAATTAAGCTTTTTTTAAGAACCTTAAATTTCAATATATATGTTTCAAATAAATATAAAAATTTCATTTTTTCAAAAAAAATAGAAAAATAGTTGGCCAAAATATAGAAACTTAATAAATATGTTTGGAGAAGAATGTAGAAAAAAAAATATGTTTGCTGAGAGGTGAGTGGGATAGATTTGAAAATGTTTGGAAGAACAGGAGAGAGATGAAAAAATGATTTTATGGAGATGGAGACTTTAAGCGAGGATTGATTATGGAGATGAAGGATGTATACAAATGCTGTTAAACGTTTTTAGATGGAAAGAAATAAAGCAAAACTGTTAGGCGGAAGAGGAAGGAAAATATAAAAGTTTCAAAAAAATAAGAGAGGTATTAAAATATTCCAACGTGTTTGGGAGAGGAAACTGGGATGATGAAAACATTTGGCCTGAAAACTTGAAAAGATGGAAAAAAAATTTTGAAAAGATAGAAGTTAAAAATATGCTTTCAAGAGAAAAAAACATAAAATTGAGAATAGGGTATACAAATATTTAAAGAAGAGATTAAGATGATCTAGGGAGGTGTCTAAAATAATTTTTAATGTTTAGGAAAAGAGAGGAAAAATACAAAAATGTTTGAAAAAATGGAAGATACAAAAATGGTTGCAGACAAAGAAGGAGCAAAAAAATAAATTCTGAAGAAAATAAAAAAAAATTCGTGGAGTGAAAAAAAGAAATGTGTTTGAGGAGATGGAAGTCCCGTATGAAAAGAATATAAAAATGTTTCGAAAGGAAACTTGTAAGTCTTTTGAATATAAATAGGCAAAAATATGCGCGCCGAAAAAATAAGAAGAACATGACAGAGACCTGCAGCCTTCCGCCGAGTTGTTCAGCTCTCTTGAGGGAGACGAGGATTCCAGTCAGCTGGTCCGTGCTCTCGTTCGTTGACGACCGATCCAACACCAGCACTGCCTCTCCGTCTGCTCCCGCCAGTGGGATGCCTACAATTAAGTTTTTCAGCGTATTAAATTTTTTATCAACTAGTTTTTGCCAAAAGCAATATGGTGAACCAAGCAAAATGTCAAGCTAAATTAAGCACTCCAAGACATCAACAATTGACACCATAACTGAAAACATACCACAATTAATACAACAATTTCAATTAACATTATAATCACTAGTTTATATGAAAATATACATACAATGTTACAAGTATTTTCAAAATGCTTAGAAGATTGTTTTGAATTTGAAATATTTTTTTTTTGTTTAATAATAGTATAAATACGGCTCTTAAAATTTAATTCATCATCTAAAATAATACTAAGCAGTTTAAAATTATCGTTTTCCCTCCAATTAATTGTAATTAATATTGGATTTTATTTATTAGATTACTATTATATTGTTATTAATATAAATTTTAATTAATTTCATTTCATTTATTCATTTGAATTTTAATCCTACATTGAGTGATTGATTGATTGACTGATTGATTGATCGATCGATTGATTGATTGATTGGTTTGTTGGCTGATTGATTGATTGATTGGCTGATTGATTGATTGATTGATAGATTGATTGATTGATTGGTTGATTGATTGATTGATTGATTGAATGATTGATTGATTGATTGATTGATTGATTGATTGATTGATTGATTGATTGATTGATTGATTGATTGATTGATTGGTTGATTGATTGATTGATTGATTGATTGAATGATTGATTGATTGATTGATTGATTGATTGATTGATTGATTGATTGATTGATTGATTGATTGATTGATTGATTGATTGATTGATTGATTGATTGATTGATTGATTGATTGATTGATTGATTGATTGATTGATTGATTGATTGATTGATTGATTGATTGATTGATTGATTGATTGATTGATTGATCATCGATTGATCATCGATTGATCGATTGACCGATTGATTTATTTATTGACTGATTAGGTTGTTATTAAGAATTGAAATAAGTATATAAATAGCAGAATTATTTTTACAAATTTGTCTAATAACATTTTTTCAATAAACATTTAAATGTTACGCTTTTAGATGCGTGCCTGGTTAGAAAAAAATTAGAATACAATGGGACGACCAGAGAGTTGAGTTGAACTTTCACTTGTAAACCGATTTCACGGTTTTTTCAAGTTCAAATGGAATGAGTATTTCCGATCAATTCATTATCATTATCGTCATCACAATTAGGTTCATTATTGCCACCACTACACTTCAATTATAAACATTTATATTAATAATAAAATAATAATAATAGTAACAATAATAATAATAATACTATTATTATAATCAATACACTACTACTACTACTACTACTACTACTACTACTACTACTACTACTACTACTACTACTACTACTACTACTACTACTACTACTACTGCTACTACTACTACTACTACTACTACTAATAATAATAATAATAATATATTTTCATTATCATTATTAATATTATTATTACTGTTGATGTTGTTTTTGTGTTGTTGTTAGTGCTATTATTATTATTATTATTATTATTATTATTATTATTATTATTATTATTATTATTATTACTATTACTATAGATTATTTATGACAACTTTACAATAATGGCTAAATATTTTTGTTAAACTGAAAGATTATTATATATTTCTGTTAAGATAATGATCATGCAAGACAAATTTTTTTATAAATTTTTTTAGTCGATAAGATTCTTGAAATAAGATTCTTGAGATTGTTCATCAAAGATATTTTACTCTTACATTTTCAAATTAGTTAGTTGTTAGGTGACATATGCGATAAAATTTAAAATTAAATAAAAAATAGATAAATTTAAATTGCCTTATAGTTTATTCATTAATTTCTGAAGAGCAAATACAATTTCGTTTGTTCGTTCGTGTGTGGGTTGGGTAGGTGGGTGTTGGTAATTATTATTCCTATTATTCGACAATATTTTGATTGCTTAATTATTATTTTCTAGTAAAATAAATAACATTTAAAAAACTTTTTAGTTCATTATTAAATTTATTCCACAGAAATTTAAAATTTTTTTAATTTTTAGCCAAGAAAGCTTCTGAAGCAATCATGAAGAGAGACAGTTCCAAAAGCGCAGGTATTCATCATCATACATTTCTCTTGACAATCCTACTTTTCATACGCCACCGATTTGCTCGAAATTTATTAAAATTCTGTATTAAAAGTGCTCACTTGTGCACTTGCTTCAGATTCAGAGGTATCAGCGAGAAAAACGACAAACATTTTTTGTTCGAGGAACAAAAGAGAGAGAGAGATAGGATTGAGCACCAAATAGATTTTGTAAGATTTTGTTATAAAAACTTAGTCTAAATAACCATTTTATTTATATTAAATAGTTTAAAAATACAAAAATTATCAGTTAATTATCTATGTATGACTTACATACATAAACATTTTAAAATGATGAACTACATTTAAAATTTTCCCCTTAGTCTCAAAATAAACACGCTCATGTTATAAAATTTATTTGATAGCTTGCCTAAATGATAAAATCATTGGAAAGTTTCTTCTGCTTAATGATATCTGCTTGATAAAAACTAGTCAACCGACATAATTTCAATTTTATAACAAAACTTTGTCAACAATAGTTTTAGCGTTCACTTCTGTTTCTACTTTTAATCATATTAATTGGAAACGAGAAGATGACTTACATAACAGTGACCATTTCCCAATCATCCTATCTTATGATAAACCAAAATCAATTATAATTAATTACTAAAATTAATCCCAAAATCTATCCGTGATTTAATAAAACATGAAAATATAGCAGATAAGAAAAACTAAAAGCTTTAAATAAATACAAAAAACTCCCAGTATACCTAACTTTATAGAATTCAATAAATCACAAGCCGAAATTAAAATGATAATAAGAATTGAAAAATCAAAATGCTGGAATAATTATATCAGTTCAACACCTCTAAGAAAAATATAGTCTTAGATAAACCAAATTACCAACAAGCACTCTAATTACTTCTCAAATAATTTGTTCTGCAACAACATAAACTACCATTCAAATGAAGAAATAACAAATATTTGCAGACCATTTTTAAAAAATCTCAGCATTTAGCAACCAAAACAAATCATTCCTAAACTTCGCCAAAAGTGAAAAAAATTTACCCTCAATTTTGATCCAGACAATGAAGAGCTATATAATGACTTGATATCGTTCAGAAAAATTGAATTTTTTATAGAATCAAACAAAAATTCCTCCCCGGATCCCGACAACATAACTTACGACATACTCAAAAAATTACCAAATTCATCATTAATCGCAGTTAAAAATGCTTTCAATTATATTTGGATAAATTCACCAACACCAGAGAAATGGCGTGAAGAATTAGTAATATCAGTATCAAAGACCAACAAACCAAAAAACGACCCATATGATTAACACACTATGTAAAATCTTTGAAAAAAATAATTCATCAAAGGCTTACACATTATTTAGAAACTATTAAAGTAATAATCTCTAATCAATCGGAGGCTAAAAAATGCGTAACACCATAGACCATCTTGTTTTTTTTGAAGTCTATGTAAGAGATGCAAATGTTTGTGATGAACAGGTTATACTGTCAAAACATCCTAACAATACAGCATTCAATTCTCATGCCGAAATTTCAAAAAAGTAGAACAAAACACTCTATATCAGAAGATATCTCTGACTTTGAATCCACGATAAGCTTTGTTTCAGTTATAAACTTTTTCAAAAAGTTACAATACTTTGAAAATATTTAATTTTATGGCTCTAAACAGAAATCTTAATTTTTAAATGTCAATTTGGCACATCATAGCCCGAAATAGGGAGCTGAAATGCCGTTAAAGCAGATAAAACAACATTTTAAATTAAGTAATCACTTTTCATTTCTCAATAATGTAAAGAAATTCGTTCCCAAACTGAATTCATCTGAATTTGAGTTTATTTGTTTTGATAAATTGATAAATTTTTGCTAGTTTTTTTGTTAACTTTTTGTCATCGCTAACTTTACATTTTGTTTTTGTTAGTTGTAATAGAAATTAGAAACTCAAATATTATACACAGTTGAAAATTAGCAACGCATTTGCAATAGACATTGAAACATGTTTAGTGAATACTTCATAAATAATCAAAAGTAAAATGCAATAAAAATAACAATAATAAAAACAATATAACAACTGCAATTTTTAAAATAGTTCTATTAATGTTTGTTTGATTATTCAAAACATAAAATTTAATTAAAACGTTGCTACTAACTTGCTCGAAGATCTTCATTTTGGCTAAATCTTTCTTTTTTCATTGCTCTGTTTTGTTTTCGCGTTATGCAAATGGCAGTCGTGAGGACAATAGTGATGATGATGCACGACACTGAGACGATGATTAAAATGAGAAGATAGTTGTCAAGGAAGAATGACTTACTGTTTTCATTCGTGTTTGCCGCAAGCTTTGCTGATTCTTGTTTCTCTACTTGCATTTGATGTAATAAACAATCTTCGAAGATTACATCGAGACACGCAATTTCAAAATTGGAATTTGATTGATCAGCATTTTGAGCTTTGAATTTTAATTTTGTTTGACACTGATTTGAAGCTAGTGGACCAAATAAGTAAGAGTTCCACGAAAGTACACCGGTCACGGCATCAACTGAAAACTGATTAAAATCATTTCCAGAAATTATTGAATAAGTGATTTCCGCATTTTTGTTCAAGTCTCTGTCAGTTGCTATAAGAGATGTTAGCTGACGAGCAAAAGTTAAATTTCCTTTCAATTTCAACTCTTCCGGCCTAAGACAGTTATCTGCCGTGGGGAAGATCCACGATGGAGGGTTGTCATTGACATCAAGTACGTCTACAAAAATATTGGCACTTTCTTCTTTGACGTAAACTTTAAATTCATAATGACTGCATTCTTCTCGGTCTAATAACTTGTTTGTTAATATGTTACCGTTTGTAGAGTCCACGTAGAATGGGAGATTAGAATTTCGTTGTTGAAATTGATTGGTGTATAAATTTGGCGGTAAAAGATGTTGATCATTTGAATTTTTCAATGAGTTGGGAATGATTTTTTTAATGGGATATAACGAATACTCAATGAGATTATGAGGATGTTGGTCAACATCATGAGCTTTAACTTGACCCACAAAAGTACCAGCTGGTTGATTTTCTGATATATTAAATTTGTACCAAGGTTGATCAAATTTTGCAATTTCATCATCTAAATCTAAAATAAAAAGATCAATCAACGTCTTAGTAACGTGTTTGTAAATCACAGAAGAGTTTTCTTTTGAAATTTTACCTCCTTTAGCAAAAACATGAAAAGAGTAGTGCTCGTTTATTTCTCGGTCAAAAGAAATTAACGCTGACAACGTTCCTTTATTGTCAACAGAAAATAAATGCTCAAAATGGGGTTCAACGTAGAAATTCACATTGTGATTTGCTGGATCAATATCAGCATCTATTATTTGCAACTGAACAATTTCCTTGTTAACTAAGTTGTTTTCGTGCAAACTGACAACGTATTTCTGTTTTGAAAAAACGGGTGGGTTGTCATCTAGATCGGTCACAATAACATTAACCTGAAGCATAGAGGATTTTGGTTCATCGCCCATATCCTCACACCAAATTGTTGCTGTGTGTCTACCTTCCTGCTCTCTATCTAACTTTCCTTTAATAATCAGTTGAAACTCGTTATCATTCGTTCTAAATAAGCTGAGCACATTGTTGTTCTTCATTTCACAGTCTACCATACCGTCAGCACCATGGTCCTCATCTTGTACGACAACATCCGCCACGTGGAAATTTTCTGCATTGTTTTCTTCGACAATCAAATTGCTGTTATCACTGCCTAAATAATTTGATACAAGAGATATGACCGGCGAATGAGCATTAGTATTTAAAACTTTTACTTCTACTGGAACCATGACGGGAAACTGGTTTGATCCTGAGTCTGTTGCAGAAACAATCAAAGAGAATGGAGATGTAACTGAAGGGTGGTCTGATAATTTTGATATTAACGTTATATCACCCGAATCACTATTAATGCTGAATAACTCACCGTATATGCCTTGTGTTTTTTTATTAAATGAATATTTGATTTTTCCGTTATTACCTTCATCTAAATCAACCGCTTTTATTTTGGCTACCAGATGCCCAACCGGATCATCCGATTTCATTTCAAAGTAGTAAGATGATTGTTCAAAAACTGGTTGGTTGTCATTTTCATCCAAAACATTAATGTCGATATTTAGAGTGGATGACTTCTGAGGAACACCGTTATCTGTTGCAACAATTCGAAATTTGTAATTATCTATTTGTTCTCTGTCGAGCGCTAAGAGGAGTTCTAATCTTAAATCTACAATATTGCCAAAGGAGTCTTCTAAAAATTTAAGTTGAAAAATGGATTTTGATGGATGCAGTGTGTACGTGATGAGAGAATTATTTCCACCATCGGCGTCATTGGCTGGCTCTATGTGGAAAAATTCTCCTGGTTGTGTAGATTCTGATATGTTCAGGGTCATCAGCTGCTCTTTGAAATGAGGAGCGTGGTCGTTAATATCGAGAACGTTGATGATCAAGGGGATGTCGTACGATTCTAGAGCTGATTTACAAGATAATGTTAATGATATTTTGCAATCTGAAGTTAGTGAAGATGAGCAGACATATTCTCTGTCTATCTGTTTAATTAAATACAATTTACCATCATTATTATCCAATCTAAAATACCCATCACACTTTTTAGACCATATTTTCAATATATTATCATGTGTGGAATCGAACTTCAAGTATTGTGAACAATCAAATAGTTCCGTTTTCGACAAGTCTTCTTCAAGAACTTGAATTGTTACAGTTTCAAGTTGTTTTGTAACATTTCGAAAAGTTTTTAATCGTTCGTTTGAAGCTGGTTGTGTTGTTTGCACAAATTTTCGTTGGAGAGGTGAATACGAACGTTGTTGAGTTGCTGTTTGTGGCAGAATCATGCAGAAAAACAAAAGCACTATTTCTTTGACAATGCCCATATTTAAGATTGCATGGCATCAGCATTTACACAATCTATTTCATTAATTTCTTTCCTAAGTTTTAAGACTGTATACGTTTTCTGTAGCTGAAAATTTAAAAAAAATCATAATTTCAATTATATAAATATATATATATATATATATATATATATGCATTATATTATGTAGTTTTGCGTTTATGTCTACTTTTTGGTTAAATAAAAATGCTCTATGATATTCTTCATTGACTATGAATAAATGAATAAAAAGCAAAGTACAAAAAGGTTTTAAAATATTAAATGATTGATAATAAGTTAAAATAAAGATCCAAACCTAGTTAACATACAATGACAAACATTGCAATACAAATATTTCAATCGATCGATCAATCAATCAACCGATCAAATCGTTTTTAAAACAATTTTTGTGATGTTCAACAGCGTTCCTCAAAGTATTTTACACAAAAAGGGGTCGTGAGATCCATCCTGAACTTCGCAAGTGAACGAGAAGTAGTTAGAGAAAGAAGTAGAGAGTTTTAGCGAAAAGGACCAGAAAAAGTATGGGCAGATTCAACGTAGAAGTAAAGAAGTGAGAACGAGAAGACGATCGTAGATCGGGGCGTTTAGGTTCAGTTTATATTTCTGATAAATACTTGGTAAAGAATTTTAATTGTGTGCAAGTTAAAAAAATTGTTTTACAGGAGGCCAGTGCAAGAAAACTAGATATTAAGCTTTATATTTTAAAAAAAGATAGAAACAAGAGCAACTAGACAAGCAGCAGAGTTAAAAACTTTTATTAAAAGGTATAATGTAGAATTAGACAAACCATACTAGATAAACCAACAATCAATTTTAGATAAAGCTAATAAAATAACAAAAGAAGAAAAAGTTACTTCATCAAAAAAAAAGTTAAGTTTTTTTATTCTACGTAGATGCAAATAAGAACTTTTAGCAACACTATTAATCTGAGAAGGGACTCGTTAAAAACAAAACTAGCGTTTAGTCTGCAAAACTTGTTAGAACGTCAAGGGTTTTAAAACCAGGTAAGATGTCAACAAAAAGAGCAGTAATAGTGTTCAGATTTGTTAAAGCGTATTAGTTCAAACTTGAAGGATTTAGTTTCAGGTGCATGAAATCACACCAAGCTATAATAGAAGAAAGACACAAAATTAAATTATAAAGAACATTATTAAAATTGGACGAAGGAAAGGAAGTATAGATATAGGAGTGATTAACATATAGTTGACTAGTAAAAGAAACCTTTTTTAATAATACAATGTTGAGGTTGTTCCAAAATATAGAGTACAAATAGGAAGGGTCTAAGAATAGATCTTGGAGTAGCAAAAAAGTAAGAATAGAAGTAAATTGGCGTTTTTTTTTATTGACCAAAATTTGATTCATTTCACAAATATATAAATTATCCAGATGCAGTTGCAGGCATTAACAGCAATAATAACGTGATTACAAAGATAACATGTAGCATGTTCGCTCGTGTATAGCATTTAAACACTAGACCGTCCTGTACAATTACACGCAAGTCCATGAACATCATTATACAGTGCTCTGTGGGGTCTTGTGCGTGAATAATCAAGCGTATGTATATATTTTTTTACAGGTTATTGATACTATTGGCGCTCAGTTATCGTGCATACATTAAACGCTCTTATGATCGACCCACATATTAATCGAGAAATACTTTGCTAATGTTTTGCATGTGTTTTTGTATAATCACATGAACAAATCAAAATTTGAAAATGTATAATTATGCGTAACTATTATGACTAGCATTAAGATTTTGACGGAAAATAAAAAATGCGACAAAACATAAACAAAAAAATGCAAAAATTGTAAAGCCTAGCACACCTTAGTAGACATGTTGCGCAACTTATTTATAAACGACGGAGACCAACAGAGTCAGTCGTGAGACGTGTTCTTGTGCTCCATCTAGCGCCAACGGTACAATGTGAATTTTAGCGGTTCAGCAGATTGTGTAATATCATATAATTCTTCGAGACTGTTTAACATTTTACAAGTATAAGAAAATTTAAAAATTTAATTGCATTTTTATTTAAAATAAATTTTAATTTTGAAATATTTAATGAATTTAAATTGACAATAAACGTAAAAACAACGCAATGGGATAAATTTCTAAACAAGAAACCGTTTTAAACAAATTTCAAAATTTTAAATAAAAACAACAATTAAAAATTATAATTAAATATTAAAAACATTGAACAAAATATTTAAATAAAATAAAATTTTCAAAAATTTAAACAATAAAACCATTCTGAAATGGTTATAAGCTGAAAAAAACTTTAAAATTTCATTAACTCTCTCATTCTAGTTTGGAAACTTCAGACAAGCGATCATCATCACTTTTGCAACAGACCCGTAGACCAGGATTGATCTATAGACATATCTCGTAGACAAACCGAGTCACGTCTCAGAAACCAGATTTGCGCAACATGTCTACCATTGTGTAACCAGACTTAACAGGAACAAATGCCATTCTACTAACATCCTTATCGCCATACATACATACAATACAAACATTCATACATACATACATACATACATACATACATACATACATACATACATACATACATACATACATACATACATATATACATACATACATACATACATACATACATACATACATACATACATACATACATACATACAACATACTTCAAAGTGAACGGTAGAAAATTAAAAGATCCAATAATGATTTTAATTATCAGTTCAAACTCCGCTCAGCAGAATCATTCAACAATCAGTTTTTTATGTTCCTCATTATCTGTTTCTACAGCGTAGGAAGTCTTTGTTTATTTTATATATATATATATATATATATATATCCATGTGTATATACATATATGTTCTTGCTCTTATATATATATATATATATATATATATATATATTCTATGTGTGTGCATGTCTGTATGTATGTGTGTGTGTGTGTGTGCACAGATGCATGTAATGTTTCAACCTTCTTTCATAGATGTATTAGCAGCAGACAAATGAACTCCACTTTACAAATTCATTTATCGACAGCCTTCTCAGGACCACACCTCCGGACCCCACAAACTTCGGTATAACTTAACGAAATATGATAAATGCAAACTTTCAGTGCTTTATGTTACAAATAAATCGGTTTAAATTTAATTTTATGCAATTTTTGCACAATGCCCAGCTAATTTTGCTTCACTAACTAAAAATTTCCAGAATGCAGTTTTAATGTTGTTACATTTTGCTTATTATTTGATGCATCATCTTTTTGAAAAATCTAGTTACATGAAATTTTTGAGTGTGAAAATCTGGAATATATGTTATAAAAGTTATGATATATAATTAAAAAAAGATGCAACGAAAAGCAGCAAGTATTAGAACTCGATGCAACGCAATTTTGCTTATAAATGGCCAAAAGCCCATAAATTTGTCATAAGACGTATCAATATTGATCTGGAATTTGAATAACTTCACAAAACTGGCAACTGATTTTGTAGTCGCAAATTGTAGTTTCCAAGTTGCAAATAATAAAAAATAAAATGGAAATTAATTTCAAAAAAATTTTAATTTATAAACTATAAATTATCAGCATCCGTGTCTGTGTCCAAGGATTTGTGGCGTGCCCCTATTGAATAACTTCAGAAGCTCTAGCTTCACTCGAGAATGTCAAAACAAATGATGTTTCAAACGTTTCTTGAAAACATGCCAGCTCATGTTGTCGAATTTCTCTAAATCTACAAGTAGTGAGTTCAAAATTTTTGCAGTTGAAACAGAAAATCTTCTCTTAAAACGAGACAAATTGAATTTAGGAAGCAGTAGATCACCTTTATCGGAGGGTCTCAATCGACTAATTGTTCCTTCAAACGAGCTCTCCCAACAAAAGTTTAGCGGTATTTTAATGACCTGAGCCAATATGCCTGATTCTTTCAAGTATGCATCGAAATATTTTTTAAAATTTTTATTTTTTTCAACATTTATTGATGTGAACTTTCAATTAATAAAATTTCGAATTGCAAATTTCAACACAATTATAAACATGGTCAACTTGAAATGTAGCAAAAAATGTAACAGAACCAACAGTTTGAATTACATTTATTTCAGTTCTTTATTTTGTGGTGCTCCAATTAAATAAAAAATGTCACATACTTAATGGAACGAATGATGAAAAATGAAACGAATAAGGCTACGTAAACATTTGGGCGAACCTGCACCATTCAGCCTTCAATAACATCGACATGCCGCTTGCAGTTGAGACAAAATTTTATTTAAATTTATAAAATTACATTGTAGTAAAAATGTATTAATGATGAAAACTCGTTAGCATTTCTTTGTTTACGAGACAGCTTTTTCGAAAAATTCAATTAATTATTGCTTGAGATAATAAAGACTGTTGAGGCGCAGGTACAAATTGCAGTCCCCCTCACCTGAATTGCAGATGCAGTAAATTTGAATCAATTCAATAAGTGGATGCCGTTTTATTATCCTCTTAATCAACTTTACGTTAACCGGGGCAAAATTATTATGCCGTCTTTATTAATTTAGTCGCGATGACTTCAAATTATTATGCAAAATATTATGCAAAATTGAATGTTGCGTGTCGTTCAAATAAAGATTGAGAGTGTTCATGGCTGCTTATCTACATATTGGTTCATTACTTCATCTGCTGTAATTGGCAGAAGTTGCAAGGACCTTTTAAAGTACGCGCGAGTAGCACACAATACGCAGAAGATCATTGTACTACGACGCGCAACATGGCACTTGCACTGTCGGAGCTGTTGAACCACTTTTTGCTGCACAAGCAACAACTTGCTCACCAAGACTCGGTTGTTCCATCGGAATGTTCAACTGAAATGAACAAGGATCAAAGACATAATTATATTGTCTTGAGATTTTATTATAATAATAATAGCAAAAAGTTATTTTTAAAAATATTTTTTATGACGAGGTATGATTTTGTGTAAATTGCCATGTGTTGTTACGAAAACTCAAAGAATAATATTTCAATA